TTTATAATCAGATACTGTCTACTCCTCCATGAAGTATTTAAGTTCCTTTATAATTAAAAATTTACTCAAATCAATTTATGAGAAATGTGGTCTCATCCCATATACTCCAGGGATTGTTCTATAATGCTGTTTTAACTCCTCCTTTTCCTGCCTCTGCTTCCCAAGTGCTGGGATTATAAGGAAGACTCACAAGGGTTTAGTGGTCAGTAAGAATTCTGAGTCCTGTTCCTTACTTTGTAACAATCATGGCACCCCCAACTCAGTATATTGGGGTACTTATCAAATTTTGTTTCTCAAAACTTACATTAGTGTTGGGTGCTGTGAACTCAAGTCAAACATCTAAAATCTAACATTTAAAATAAATAAAAATTAACTTTCTTAAGCTGGGTGGTGGTGGGTATGCCTTTAACCCCAGCTCTGGGGAGGCAGAGGAAGACGGATCTCTGTGAGTTTGAGGCCAGCCTGATCTACAGAGTGAGTTCCAGGACACACAAGGTTACACAGAGAAACCCTGTCTCAAAAAGAAAAGAAAAGAAAAGAAGTAGAAAAGAAAAAGAAAACTAACTTTCATCTCAAAAAAAGATGTGATCATAATTTGTGATTGTAAATATTTATAATGTTCAGGTATTTCCCTCTCTTAAATATTCATCAAGTTATACAGAAACAAACATGTTTTCTCATGCAGTCCATACAACAGAATCAAATATACATGGAGAATGTGAAGGTTCACAATTTATTTTTAGTGCTTTTCTGATAGGGAATGTTTTATCTAATGCGGCATGATGTAGAATGGATATTATTTTGTGTACCTACATTACATAAAAAGTGGTGACACAGTGTTATTTTTACATTGGCCTAAGTTTTTTAAAAGATGCATTTTAGAAACTCAAGAACAGAGTTTTAAAAAATAAGTGTAACTAATATGCTAAAAGAAAAAAATGAAAATAAAAAACAGAAGACAGAAAATGGTGAGAAATGGAAAAATAATTATAAAACATTTACAAATGCGATAGTCAAATCTAATTCTGTCAATAATTATTTTAAGTATAAATTATCAAAATATACCATTAAAAGACAGAGCCATGCATAATTGCTCATGCTCATTGCTCTAGCATTTCAGAGGCAAGGATGGATAGACCTCTATGAGTTTGAGACTAGCCTGGTCTATATAACAAGTTCTAGGCCATTCAGGGATACACAGTAAGACCTTGCCTTTAAAAATGATAGCTTAGATTTTTTTTTAAAGATACAACTATATTCTATCTATAATTCCATTTAAATAAATATATAGATACACACAAACTAAAAGTTAAGAAATTGAGAAATGTTGGGGCCAGCAAGATGGCTCAGATGGTTAAGGCCACCATCCACAGATACACACATCCACACAGACGCAAACATGCATACACACATACATGCACACCACACACATACACATGAAAGAGAAAAACAAAAACAGAAACCTGTTGCGATACTATCATAGACTCACTTTTCTAGAAAACCATGAAGGCTATAAATGCCCCTATGTTCATTGATGATAGCATTTTTCTTCCCCATTTTTCTGGTTCATGAGGTCTGGAGGAACATGTTAATTTAGATTCATTTCTTTTTTTGTTTTTGTTTGTTTGCTTGTTTGTTTTCTTTTTATTTATTTATTTATTAATGTTATAATTTGATTTAATTTTACGTATCAGCCAAGGATTCCCCTGTCCTCCCTCCTCCTGCCCCTCCCCCCCACCCTCCTCCCAGCCCACCCCCCATTGCCATCTCCTCCAGGGCAAGGACTCCCCTGGGGATTCAGCTCAACCTGGTAGATTCAGTCCAGGCAGGTCCAGTCCCCTCCTCCCAGGCTGAGCAAAGTGTCCCTGCATAGGCCCCAGGTTCCAAACAGCCAGCTCATGCACTGAGGATAGGTCCCGGTCCCACTGCCTGGATGCCTCCCAAACAGTTCAAGCTAATCAACTGTCTCACTTATCCAGAGGGCCTAATCCAGTTGGGGGCTCCTCAGCTATTGGTTCAAAGTTCATGTGTTTCCACTAGTTTGGCTATTTGCAGGCAAATGGATGGATCTAGAAAAAATCATCCTGAGTGAGGTAACCCAGACTCAGAAAGACAAACATGGTATGTACTCACTCATAGAAGGATACTAGATGTAAAACAAAGGGTGACTAGACTGCTACTCAAAACTCCAGGGAGGCTACCTAGAAAACGGGACCCTAAGAAAGACACAGGGATCGCCCAACGACAGAGAAATGGATGAGATCTACATGAGCAAACTGGATGTGAAGGGGCGGGGGGGGGGGGGGGTGATGAAGGGCAAGGATCGAGGGAAAGAGAGCTTAGGGGAGCAGGAGATCCCAGCTGGATCAAAAACAGAGAGGGGCCAGGTGGTGGTGGCTCACGCCTGTAATCCCAGCACTCGGGAGGCAGAGGCAGGCGGATCTCTGTGAGTTCGAGGCCAGCTCTGGTCTACAGAGCTAGTCCAGGACAGGTTCCAAAGCTACAGAGAAACCCTGTCTCAAAAAAAAAAAAAAAAAAAAAAAAAAGAACAGTGAGCCAGAAATCCACAAAGATACCTCCACAATAGACTACTGGCAATGGTTGAGAGAAAGCCCGAACTGACCTACCTACTCCGGTGATAGGATGGCCAAACACCCTAACTGTCTTGCTAGAAATCTCATCCAGTGACTGATGGAATCGGATGCAGAGATCAGGGCCAAGCCCCAGGTGGAGCTCCCGGAATCTAATCGGCAAGAAAGAGGAGGGATTGTATGAGCAAGAATTGTCGAGACCAAGATTGGAAAAAGCACAGGGACAAATAGATTCATTCTTATCAAATCTCTGCCTCAAAGGCAAACATTATCTGACTTTAACCTTTGCTGCTCAACACTTAAAGAACAGTATCTCAGGGAGAAATACAAACTTTCTACCTTAAATAATTCACAAGAACTTTTTGTTTTAATTAGCATACTCACTGTCCTTTCCCTTCCAAGAAGTGGCCCCATCTTTCAAGGCTACATTTTGCATCTCAGTTTCATGAACAAATAAGACAATTGAGATTCATGCAGGTTGTTTAGTACACAGACCCGTGTGAAATGACCATGGAACAAAAACGCATCCTGAGCATTCTTTCTGTACCTTTCCTCTTACGGTTCCCAGGCTTGGTTACAGCTCCTTGCATTCACATTGAACCATTCACACAGGGACCCTGTGGTGACCTGGTACTCTAAGGATGGTGCCCAGAGTCTGAAAGACAGCACAGAAACCCACAAGGACTGTGCCTGGTCCTGCTCTGAGGCTCAAACAATATAAGTGGCCTGTTTCACATGGAAACACTTGTCACCCTAAGGGAAAGTTCAGCAGAAGCCACATCTCCATTCACCAGGAACCCTATCTTTAAAGTAGAGAAGGAAAGACGGCGTTTCGTGGCAGGTGAGTTCCTCCAAAGTCCTGATCTTGAGATGTTGCTGATGGAGGTGTGACTAGCAAACACCTGTAACTGTGAGACCTAGATGAATGTTTAACTTTATTCATGGAGAACTCCAACTAAATATACCCTTTCTCATATCTTACATTCTTTTTGTCAAATACATAATTATCTCACTTTATAAAAATGAATACATGGCTCAGCTCCCACATGGCAATTCACAACCATGTGCAAGTCCAATGCCTCTTCTGACCTCTACAGGCTTATGCATGCACATGGTGCCCATACACATACAATTAACTAATTTTAAAATCATTTTTAAAAGTGGGCAAGATGTATTAATAGACATGTCTTACGAAAACATTGGAAATGAACATCTTCATACATAAACAAAGTAGGCCAGACTCAGAAAAAAAAAACAAATATTGTGTGTTTTTCCTTGGAAGTAAAAACAATTTCATATGTTCTGAATGAGTGTATGCTCCGTGTGTGTGTGTGTGTGTGTGTGTGTGTGTGTGTGTGTGTGTGTCCATGAATGACAGAAGATGGCATTGGATCCTCTGGAAATGAGGTTACGGGAGGTTGTAAGCTGCTCAACATATTATTAGTTGGGTCATCTGAAATAGCAGCAAGTGCTTTTAGACACTGAAAATAGTGGGGAAATGTTTAGAAAAAGTAACAGGACTTTGGCAAGAGAAAGGCAGAGCAAACAAGAGAAATAGGGGTGATGTAATTATGTTCAAATATATCACATTTGAATGAAAATACTATGAAAGCACTTTGAATAATGAATAAATCTTTATTATAAGAAAGAATTGGCATTACCTTTTTGAGGAAACGTTTTATATGGTTTTATGTGTATGGTATAAAATATAAACTGGCCAAATTTGGGGGTGTGGCTATACAAATGGTAAGCCTTTAACATTAGCAAGTGTCAGGAAAAATGCAAACTAAAATCACAATAAGTTACCATTTGTATGAGTGAATTTGTCAGTAACAGAAAAGTTGACAAGTGTTACTGAGAATGTGAAGATGAGCAACCCATTTTTAAAAGGAGCTAAAAATGGACAGATGTTCATTATGGAAAATGTGAAGATCTCTCAAAAAGATTAAAATGCAACTACTGTAACAATTGGCAAGTCCAATTGTGAACATATAAATAAAGGATTTCAGGTCAATGTGCCCGAGATTCCTGCACTGCTATAGTTATTGAAGAACTATCCATAGGGGTCAAGGTATGACAATTACTTGTGTTCATCCATGGGTGTATGAAAAGGAGACATGAATATCCACAATGAAATACATCTCAAAAATAGCAAAACCTTGTTACTTTAGACGACACAAATAAACTTGAAGGACGTCATGCTAAATGGAATAGCCAGGTAGAGAAAGAAACACACTTCATGATGTCGCAGGTTTAAGTGGGAAAAGTCTAGGAATAAAGTGATAAGTACGGTCAGCCTTGTTCCATCAACGATTGGTATCGCTCACTGTCACTCAAGATATTCTATCCAATCATGGAGAAGACTCGGATCTGTCCAATCAGACCCATGCTCTGAGGCGGGGCGTACTTTCCTGATCTGTCTCCGGCTCCGCCATGTTGCTTCCGGTTTCCGCCGAGGTCGAGCCCTGGTATCTTTGGCCCTACGTTCTCCTGGTGAAAGCCCCTCAGAAGCTGACGTCCAGCACCAAGGTGAGTGCAGCCTCTGGGGAACCGGCGGGAGCTGGCCGGGGTCGGTCCTCAGCTCTTCGGCTGTTCCGGGTGCCAACGGCGCTGGGCTGGGAACCTGTGCGGGGCTGAGCTCACTGCCTATCTCTCTCCATTCTGGAAGCTGTGCTCAGCCTGGCCCTGTTCCTGAGTCCATCTCCTGCGGCTCCTGAGCTTAGTCCTCCCTCCACCAGGTTGTGGTGTGTGTCCCCACGCTGCAGTTCAAAAGGACATTGCAGACTGTCTGTATGATGTTTCTTTGTAAGGGCTTCAGCGGAGAGGAAGGCATTGAGGAGTCAGTCCCTTGACCGATTAGTAAGGGAAAAGCTGGTGAGGGGGATGTTGAAAGAGAAGCGATGGCTGGACTCCTAGGTGAGGGACCAGCGACTTTGGGGTGTTAATCAGCTAGACCACAGTTACCAGAGACTTAACCATCCCTGCGTTCTTGCTTCATTGCTAAGGGCATCTCTTCAGACCTGTTGTGTCTGGAGGAAAGAGCTATGACACAGCGGTAGTTCACAGAGGAGCCGAGCTGTCTTATTGTGGTTTTAGCTCCTTTGGACCCACACTCAGAACTGTGGCTTCCTGGAGCCTGTGGTAGTTTTACTTCTAGTGTTCTGAATAACCGAATACTCTTTTTTAAAAACAGTATAGAAGCGGTGTGAGGGACACCAAGTTACCATCTCAACCAGTTCTCCTGGGATAACATTTTAAAAACTGTACAGATCTCATTTGTTGTAGCTACACTAGCTAGAGCAAGTGAATTTGTGGGAGGGAGCTACGCCAAGGCCTGACTGCAGGGAGACCAGCCATTGTGAAATATCACTGCAAAAGTCCTACAGTGAATTTGCCAGTGTGGTCTTGAGAGGAAACCATCTAGATTGGAGGAGACACACTTTCTGTGAAATTTAAATATGTAAAACAAGATCTACTAGTAGGACAGTTCTGTATGGTGCATTTGTATTGAACCGTACCAAACTGACAGGAACCTAAGTAATATTGCCTTTGTAGCTTCCTATGATTTCTGTGACTCAATAATGTTCATTAAACACCCATCCTTAAAACATTGAATTATTTTAGAATAACATAGTTGCTAAGCAAGCAGCAGATGTTTCCATTAACCTGTGTATAATTGAATGATGAATCTCTACCATTTAATAAAATGCCTGGTGCTCCTTCAACAAGATCCGTTGTGGCAGTTGTCAAGTATAATATACTATTTCCACACAGGGAGACATTTTCGTTGTCTTAGCTTTCTCCCGGTCTTTGTGAATTGGGATCTGAAAGCAAGATCATATCTAGTGAGTTAATTTCTGTTGACCTTCTCTTCTAGCTGTGATTGCACAGTCCTCTCATGTCTGAAAGAGCTAGGACAATGGACACATCTGAGGTAAGTTGTATAGTTAGCCTCACCTTGTTTAATACTGTAGTTTAGGACTTTTGAAAATTGGAATGGAAGAATAAACCTAATGTAAGGTAGATACATGCAGATGAGAGCATGGGATGTGTTGACAGAGCCACATTATAAGGTCTTTTGTAGAGTGATTAAGTCACATGCAACGTGGTCTCTAGTTTTCCTGACACGTTCTGTTTGTTGTAGGGGTTGGATTGACTCAGGAAGTGCCAGCTTCTCGTGCTGGCATGGACACGTGCATGATGTGGACAGAGCTTCATTCCCAGGCTGGAGATGAACACAGCCTTCAGCAATGTCAGTTCACAAGTGCTCAAGCTCAGATCCTTTCACAGGGCTCTTCTTTGCTGGCTAAAGTTGTATAGTTCCGGAGAGCTTTAGGAAGACCCCACTTATGTCAGATGAGACCTGGAATGTATGAAGACAACGTACTGTGGGTCCTTCACTTCTCTCCCTGCGTTTCCTCTGCTTGTGTGTGTATGTAGATCATAACAATGTCCCAACATAAGTTTCTAGTAATAATTTGTCTTTACAGTTTGCATTTTTTCTCCTACTCACTGTACTCTTGGTTCAGATTCTCAACATCCATCGCAGTCAGATGGAAACACTGTTCTCTGCCGGCTGCCTTACTTAAGTCTTCTGCCATGCTGCAGAGTTGTGCCCATCATCTTCACCGGGAAGGTCTTCATTTCAGTCTTGATATTGCTGCTGCTTTCTTAGCTCATTTTCTTAGTACTTTTTCTCCTTGTCATAGCTTACCCTTTTCTTCTGCTCAGTTCCCCACTCATCCCACCTTAGAGGACTTCTGTAATCCAGCCCTTTGAGTTTAGTGACTAGTTCTTGGTAGCATGAACCACTTGTTCGCTTTCAGATTGTAAGTTTAACTCCTGTGTTGATATGCAAAGGCATATCAAGCTCTCCTTGACAAAATGGAAGTCATAGCCTCCATTTTTTCCTCGTATATGGTATTGACACTGATCTACCTTATGGCATTGATGCGTGTGCTGAAAGGAGGGATTTCTTTTTTTTCTGGACCTTTTTTTTTTCCCTCCACTTCTGTTCCCTGTCCTTTGCTCCCTGAGGTCTAATGTTAGGAGTTGCAGTTGTTCCTGCTGGCTTTGTTTGTTGTTCCTTCTTGGTCCAGGGGCAGCATGTGATGCTGTGGATGGTGAGGAAGTGTGACTGCCTAAAGACGAGTGAATACTTTCTTGCTCACACTGGAACTGTCCGTCTCTGCCAGGCTGGGAGGGTCTGTTCCTCAGTGGTGATGCCTGAGTGCTGATGAGCTGTACTGCTCCAAAGTGGGTGCAATGCAGGCCTTGGGAGTGAGTGGGAGAAAACAGAAGTTAGTGGGATACCATTTGTGTACGAGTCACAAGAAAGGCACACAGAGCACAAGTAAAAACAGAAGCTTGGATCTGAATAATGTACATATCTTGATTATATATTTTATAATCAAAACTTCTGGTTTGTAGATCATAAAGAATATATCCCTTGCTCAGAAATGTCTTGACATTACTTTAAACACAGGAAACAGGACCAGCTAGATTGCAGTCCTGACAGGGTTGGGGTAGGATTCTCTACAAAGGCTATAAGTACACTGGGTCAGGTTCAACAGCTTGCCTGATGTTTCCCATAGACAGAAGCCAGAGTATAGGAATCTGCAGGTAAAAGTGAGAAGAGTACCATGTACTTGTGCCTTCATTGACGTACACAGTGGCTCAGGTTCGTGGTCAGTAGCTAAGAAGGAATTCTGGATTCAAAAATTGAGGCCAAACACATTTGGGTAACAGGAGTGTTGACATATTATCTGGATGGTAGAAAGAGATAAAGGTATTTGTGTCTCCTATCAAACCTCATCAGAAATGACCTCAGCAGAGGACTTTACAAGTAAAGTACTTGGCACTAGGAACTTTTAAGACAAGGTCTCACTAGATGACTTTGGTTGGCCTAGAACTTGCTCTGTAAACCATGCTGGTCTTGAACTCACAGACCACCTGCCTCTGCTTCCCGAGTGCTTACCTTAAAGGTAAGCACCACCACACTCAGCAGCTAGGACTGTTATTTGTTTCTGTTCCCATAGCCACATGTGCTACTGGCCTAGCTCTCTTATATTGATAAGGGGCAGTGCTTCTAGCAAAGGCCACACCCATGAGACTGTTCAGCTGGAGGGACTGATTTTATTCCGAGCACTTGGCTTCTTCTGACTCCAAGGCAATAAGTGGAAAAGGACCTAGTGGTGGTTTTCCTGAGTAATCTAGATTACCAAGGGAAAATCCGACTAGTCTACAATGGCGATAAGGGGGGATATTCATTACTTTTGTACTGCTGTGACCAAATAAATACCTGAAGAACCCACTTAGGGGAGGGACATTTATTCTGGCTCATTGTTTCAGAGGTGTGAGTCCATCATGGCAGTGGTGGCAGGTTGGAGTGGCTCCATCAGTGGAGGTGTGAAGAGGAGCAGCTGTTCACACCATGGCAGACCTGGAACCTGAGAGAGAAGTGGGAAGGAACCAGGGGCAGGTATAATCTTCACAGACACCCCGTTTCTAGTCTATTTCCAGCAGCCAGACCCTACCACCTAAACCTTCCAAAGCCTTCGAAGTAGCACCACACACTTTGGATCACATGCTCAAAGCAGTAAGCTTGTAGGGAACATCCCATAGTTAAACCACAAAAGGAGGAGTATGTCTAGAGTACAGGAGATCACTAAGGGCATCTCTTAGTATAACTGTGCCCTCTTGTAGCCAAAACACTCCCATCAGGAAGGACCACAAATATTCCAGACACTTTAGTTATGACTGTGGGTCAGGAATGTTTTTGTGTATGTCCACGTATATCAAGCAGATATTTTGGATGCTGATTTTTCTCTGTAATTTTTTTTTAGGTATAGAATTAGGAAGTGAATATTTTTAGAAGTGACTGCATCTTTTTGTGCCTGCTATTTCTTTGTCTTGGGATCTAATTTTATTGTATATGAATTCAAATTTCTCAGCTTTTATTATGGTTGTGTATTTATTGACTACTTCCTTTTATTTCCGTACTGAAAATTAAAAGCAGAACAGTTCAGACCCGGAAGTCAGTGTAAGCTGTGAGACTCGGTTCAGTGTGCATGTGGGTGTTCCTGGTCCGTCCTCAGGACTGATCTTCTCTAGCTGATGCAGTCTGTTTCCTTGGATGTCAGAGCTATAGGTGATGTTTTGATAAGCAGCACCTCCAGCTTTGGTGGTTATATAAGCAGGGTGTATATCACATCTGTGACCATGATAGATAGCTTCACAGAATGGCCTGCCTAGAGTTTGCTGATGAGTGTGAAAAAGAGCAGCAAACCAAGGGCCAGCTTCAAAAGGTCATCAGAAGCGCAGGTCTCTTCTGCAGATAATTCCTTAGGCAGCATTAGCTGGTCCTGATTGAGTTGAAATGAGGTGGGAGTGGAGGTATATGTTCTGTTCACATAAACAGCACTGAAAACGAGTAGGCAGTGGTCACTGTGTCCTGGACTCCTCTTGCACACATATGCAGCACATCCACAATACCATCTTTTTAGTGCTTTGTGCTTATTATCTTGTGTCTCAAAATGATGCCTGGAATTCATTTAACACCCATTATGACTACTCTTGTCTCAGATATCTGGCATTTATAGATGAATTTCAACCTACCCTGTACAGAGTATAACAGATTGGAGTATGTGTGGGAACATGGTAATGAGCTGAAGGGGTAAACCTCGCGAGGCATCATCTTCACTACAGTCTTGGAGTCTTGGGCAGGTGTGGTGGATGGCCTTAACCCTGAAGATTGGACACCTTCCTAGATGAGGCTCTGATTCTGCGCCCTGGTCATTACTTCCCAAGCTCATGGCTCTAGTTAAGGAACTTCTTATTCTGTTTCCTAGGAAGTTTGGTCTTTGCTGATGATAAATGAAAGCCTTTCCGATGTATTATGCTCAGAGAATAAGCAGCCCTTTCCTTCTCTTTCTCATTCACAGTCTCAAATGCTGCTTTTTGTCTAAATCACTTACTAGGCAGCAGCTTAAAAAAGTCATCAGAGATGACAGGTCACTTCTGCAGATACTTCATAGACAGCATCAGTTAGTTGTTACTGAGTTGAAGTAAGGTGGGAATGGAGGTATATGTTTTGTTCTGGTCTATACATACTACCTTAATTTGCTTGTGTTCGAAAGAAATTAGGAAACAAGTTATCATGGGAAAACAGTTGTTTCCAGGTTAGCAAAACCACAGGAGAAAAAAAAAAATCTATTGTTTCCTTCAAAAATTGCCTGATTTCTTTCATGTCACATAGTTAACACATCAGCTCCCATATAATTGTTTATGTAAAAAGCTTGGAAACAAACTGGCATTTTTATCAAAAACAAAATAAATTAATGAAAATGCTATTCTTAATTTTTATTTTCTGTTGCTGCTTTGTGTTTCCTTCTGTGATGAGTTCCCAATTCCTTACTACCTCTTTTGTCTGTCTAGCCCCTAACTCCTGGTCCCCCTGCCTCAGCCTTCTGGAGGAATGGGATCTGTGGAGCTTACCACATTGTATATCTTCAGTTCTCTGTTCTTAGTGCTCTGTTTCCCAATATGGACATTGTGGAGTGATTCTTCCCCTCTGGCTCTGCCCTAAGACCCTCCCCTTTCTCCTTTCAAGGGATGGCTTTCAAAATATCTAGGTGTTGAACTGGCTTCTGCTTGTTTAGATATTGCCCTATAGGATGCTAGTGATGTTTCTTTCTGTTGGATCTAGCAGTTCTAAATTTTGGAAGGGCATATGTGGGTGCCTATGACTGTACTTATGTAACTTACAGACATTACTTAGATTTGTAATTGGTAGAGTCAGAGATGTGTTCTGTAGGGAAACCAAAGGATTATCAATTGCTTACATTTGTTTTCTGCCTTTTGTCTCTCATCATTGCTAAATTAGTTTGTTTGTAAGGCATTTTGCAGATGATTTTTTCTTCCAGGATGAGAAAACTTATATGTATATTGTGTGTAAATGATGCTTGTGGAGAGGAGTGACCTCCCATATTCCTGACCTCCCATATTCCTATTTCTTGCCCAAGGCTGAAGGCTTGGGCTGAGGAATGTTGTTTCATTACAGGGGTTGGTGTCATTTGAGGATGTCTCTGTGGACTTCACCTGGGAGGAGTGGCAGGACCTGGATGATGCTCAGAGGCAGCTCTACAGGGACGTGATGCTGGAGACCTACAGGAGCCTGGAGTCCTTGAGTGAGTGAAAGTCCCCGGTAATCCTATTAGAAGCTTTTTTTTTTTTTTTGGATTTTTTTTTTTTTTTGTGCTAGTGGCCAAACTGGTTCTTGTGCAGTATAGGTAAGTACCCAGTACTGAGCTTAATCTCCAGACTGTTTGTATTTCATTATTTTTTTTATATGTATGAGTATTTTGCTACCATGTATGTGTGTGCACCATGTGCATACAGTGCCCAATGCGGTCAGAAACGGCATTGGAGGCCCTGAAACTGGAGTTACAGACAGTTGTTAGCAGCCATGGGGTTGCTGGGAATCAAACCTTGTCCTCTTCAAGAACAGCAAGTATTCTTAATTGCTGAGCCATTTCTCCAGGCCCCACCCCATTTGTTTGTTTGTTTGTTTGTTTGTTTTTTGAGGTAGGGTCTCAACATAGCCCTGGCTGTCCTGGAACTCACTATGTAGACCAGGCTCTCCTTGAACTCAGAGATCCAACTACCTCTGCTTTCCAAGTGCTGGGATAAAAGGCGTGCTCCACCACATCCAGTGCTGTTTGTGATTTTAACTGGCACGTCATAGTTGTACATATTCATGAAAACATTGCTCCTCCCCAGTCTTGCAACATTAGGCTCGAAGAGCAGCTCCTCTGTAGTACTCTTCTGTGCCTCATTGTGGTGGAGTAGCCTGAGCTGTTAACACAGTGAGAAGCCACAGAGAGAGCATCAGCACTGTCACGTTCAACAGCAGAAGCTAAAGTTTTGTATTCGTTTTTTCAAAAGCTCTTCCTATATACTACACATGATAGTACACACCTTTGATCCCAGTACTTGGGAGGCAGAGACAGACAGATCTTTGTGAGTTCAATGCCAGCCTGGTCTACAAGGTGAGTTTAGGCCAGCTAAAACTACATAGAGACTCTATCTCAAAATAACAAAACCGAACACATTTAAAAAAAAAAAAAAACCAACTTCTTCCTGTTACCTGCTTTTTTGGTTTCGTGCTTGTATCAGTTTTTACATTGGTGCTCTCACTGGTATTTTCTTTGTACCGATTTCCACTTTGGTGTTTGTCCCTTCTCTGCTCCTCTTTCATCCCTTGATTTTGTGTAAGAACTTACTGCTTTCTTTCTATTGCGTTTACCACATCTTACCACATTGTTGAATGGCAGTAGACTCTATTTGTTGCAGTGCACTTTGAAGTTTTTTGTTTATTTTTGACAGTTCCTCATTCAGGACAGTGCTATCTACTTTCAGTATACTTTTCATGATGTTTTTAATGCCTGACTTGGGTGGGGGAAGGGCTGGATGTTTTTTTGTTTGTTTGTTTGTGTGTGGTCCAAGCACATCAGTTTATGGGGTTTGCCTGACCCTTTACATGCATGAGGCAGCCACGAGAGGCTTCCTCTATTTTCCCCCTTATATCTTGAGGCAGACTCTCACTGAACCAGAAGCTTGCCTTTCCAGCCAGGCTATTGGCCAGCAATCTTCTGGAATGTGCCTGTCTCTATCCTCCTTCTGCCCCCACCCCCCACCCCACCCCCACCACCACACCCAGCTTCATCCAAGTGCTGGGTCTCCAACCCTGATCATCTTTTCAAATCTGACCCCATTTGAAGATGGGCTCTTACTGTGTGCTTTGGCTAGTGTGTTAGTTACTTTTCTGTTGCTGTCAAAACACACCATGACCAAGGTAACTAGACAAGAAAGCATTTAACTGGGCTCCTGGTTTCAGAGGGTCAGAGTCCATGATGGCAGAACAAGGCATGGAGGCAGGAACAGCCGAGAGCTCACATCTTGATCCGAAAACATGATGCAGAGAGAGGACACTGGGAATGGCACAGAACTTTTGAAACTCAAAGTTTGCCCACAGTGATACACCTCCCCAACACCCAAACAGTCCTACCAAATGGGGACCAAGTGTTCAAACATGAGCCTGTGGACACCATTCTCTTTCAGAGCATCACAGCTAGGCTACAGCTCCCCATCCTTTTGCTGCACTCTCCTCAGCGTGCAGATTATAGGTGGGAGCCACCATGTTGAACCAGTCCTTACTGTTGATTTCTAGTCTTGTTTTTGTGGTCTAGGACACCCAGGGTATGTTTCACTTTGTTTTTGTTTTTTGTTTGTTTTGTTTTGTTTTATGGCACATTGAAGCTTCTTTTGTTTCCTGACATTTGATCTGTTCTGGAGAGTGCTTTGTTGATGAGGGCAATGTGTGTTGGGTGGAATAATTCTGTAATGTTTAAAGCCTCTTTGGTCTCTAAGTAAAGTTTAACTGCACTGTTGATTTACTTCTCATGTGTTTGCATTGTGTAATTGGGTCCTCCAGCAGTGGAGTGGGGGGGGTGTGTGTCTGTGTCTGTATCTGTGTATGTGTAAAATGTTATAAAATGTCTACTATTTATGTGACTGACTATTAATATACATATATCATTATAATGAGTCTTGTCTTTTTTTTACAATGTTTGGTTTTAAAGTCACTTTGTCTGACTTAAGTATATTTAACAGTTGTTTGGTCTGTATGTGTTGGCCATAGTTAACAGTTGTGAGGTCTGTATGTGTTGGCCATAGTTAGCAGTTGTGAGGTCTGTATGTGTTGGCCATAGTTAGCAGTTGTGAGGTCTGCATGTGTTGGCCATAGTTAACGGTTGTGAGGTCTGTATGTGTTGGCCATAGTTAGCGGTTGTGAGGTCTGTATGTGTTGGCCATAGTTAGCGGTTGTGAGGTCTGCATGTGTTGGCCATAGTTAGCAGTTGTGAGGTCTGCATGTGTTGGCCATAGTTAGCAGTTGTGAGGTCTGTATGTGTTGGCCATAGTTAGCAGTTGTGAGGTCTGTATGTGGTGGCCATAGTTAGCAGTTGTGAGGTCTGCATGTGGTGGCCATAGTTAGCAGTTGTGAGGTCTGCATGTGGTGGCCATAGTTAGCGGTTGTGAGGTCTGTATGTGTTGGCCATAGTTAGCAGTTGTGAGGTCTGTATGTGTTGGCCATAGTTAGCAGTTGTGAGGTCTGTATGTGTTGGCCATAGTTAGCAGTTGTGAGGTCTGTATGTGTTGGCCATAGTTAGCAGTTGTGAGGTCTGCATGTGGTGGCCATAGTTAGCGGTTGTGAGGTCTGTATGTGTTGGCCATAGTTAGCGGTTGTGAAGTCTGTATGTGTTGGCCATAGTTAGCAGTTGTGAGGTCTGCATGTGGTGGCCATAGTTAGCGGTTGTGAGGTCTGCATGTGTTGGCCATAGTTAGCGGTTGTGAGGTCTGCATGTGTTGGCCATAGTTAGCAGTTGTGAGGTCTGCATGTGTTGGCCATAGTTAGCGGTTGTGAGGTCTGCATGTGGTGGCCATAGTTAGCAGTTGTGAGGTCTGCATGTGTTGGCCATAGTTAGCAGTTGTGAGGTCTGTATGTGTTGGCCATAGTTAGCGGTTGTGAGGTCTGCATGTGTTGGCCATAGTTAGCGGTTGTGAGGTCTGCATGTGTTGGCCATCATTTCAGTCCCTTAACCATCAATCTAGGTGTGCCTTCATTGGCACACTGACTTTTGCTTAGGTAGTCAGTCATCAAGTTTCTTTTCTGTTAGCCATTCGGCCAGCCTGTATCCTCTGACTCACAGATTACATTCTTACAAAATGCTGTTTTGGGAGTTTTGTTGTTGCTGTTTCTCTTCATACTTTCTGTTCTTTTCTGATAAATCTTGGTTGTTTTGTGGTTTCCTATATAGACAGGAATTATTTTAAACTTACTTTTTGTGCATCTGCTCTGCATTTGAGTTTTTACCTTTCCATATGTTTTCATGATAGTATCCTGTGAACATTAACCATTTCTTGTCAAGTCAGCCTGAGGTAATGAAAGTTTTTACTTGTTTACATTTGAAAGTTTTTGTTCTGTTTGAATGTTCTGGTTATGGTATTGTTGCTTGGAAATACACTTTGATATTTTTAATATATGTCTCATTTTTCTTGGTCTGTAAAGTTTCTACATTTGGAGACATTTACTGTGCTATATGGGTATTGTTCGGTGTATGACATACTGTTTGTCTTATCGTTTAAAAGTTTGTATTGCTTTTATTATATTTATTTCTGTGTGGTGGGGGCATGTGTATGCCTTGGGGTGTATGTGGAGGTCAGAAGACAACTTTCAGGAATTGCATCCTCCTTCCATCATGTGGTTCCTGAGGATTGCACTCAGGTCGTGAGTCTTAGATGCAAGTGCCTTTACCTGCTGAGTATCTCATCTGTCTTTTTTCCATTCTCTTACTTTGTAAAATTTAGTTTTTTTAAGCTGTAATTTCTCGGCCAGGTACAGTGGTGTACACCTTTAATCATCTCAGCACTTGGGAGGCAGAGGTAAGTGTAGCTCTGATTTCAGGGCCAGCCTGGTCTACAGGATGAGTTTCAGGACTGCCTGGCTACACAAAGAAAACTTGTCTTGAAAAAACAAAAAAGAAAAGATCTCTCTCCACAGACTTTCTTTCAAAATTCAGTTCTGAAAGTATTAAAATGTGCCACATGCTGGCTCTCATGCTATCTTAGAGTTCTGTCTTTGTTTTGTAGGGTTTTTTTTAATCATATTTAATTATGTGTGTCTGTGTGTGCGTTTATGTATGTGAGTACAGTGTTCACATAGGATGCAAGAGGAAGGTAGATCCTCTGGAGCTGGAGTTTACAGTTGTTTGTGAGCTGCCTGGGTTAGTGCTTAGAACTGAACTCTGGTCCTCTGCAGAAGCGTCCGCTCTTCCTTCCTGGGTCATCTCTCCAGTCCTGTTTTGGACTTTAATAGTTGACTGTGATACACCTTGGGGATTGATCTATTTTGATTGAGTCTGTGGATGTTCTTAAAGCTCTTATGAAATGTTCTCATTGGTCCTGTCACTGCCCAATGCCCATAGTAAGATATATGTTGGTTTTATGTGTATGGGGTTTTTGCCTGCATGTATGCCTGTGCACAACTTGAATGCAGTGCCTTCAGAAGCCAGAAGAAGGCATCTGGTTCCCTGGGACTAAAGTTTGAAACAGTTGTGACCCTCCATTTGGGCTCTAGGAATTAAACCCGAGTCCCCAGCAAGAGCACCCAGTGTTCTTAACCTCTAAGCCACCTCTCCAGCCCAATGTTTTGTCATTATTTAATGTACCTGACTTAGCAGTTAGCCAAAACTTGACAATTATTTCCTATTAATAGACCAGTGTGATCCCAAACCTGAGTTGATCCTGAAGTTGGAACAAGAAGCTGAGCCATGGAAGGAAGAAGATGTCCCAAACCAGAGCCTCCCAGGTCAGTGAATAGACCCTGGACAAGGATGCCAAGTTGAGGAAGCTCATCAGATGGTGGCTGTGTGGAGCTCTTGTCTCCATTTTTCTCTTGTTCCAAACTCGAATTTAAGTGTTCTTACTCACCCAACAATCAGTATGTATGGTATATACAACAATCTGCGAGGAAGGCTCTTTCATGTAAATGCATACCACTTACATTAGTCAGGGTTCCTTAGAGGAACAGAACTGATAGAACACACACACACACACACACACACACACACACAAATACGGGATTTATTAGAGTGGATTACAGGCTCTGCCCCAGGTAGTCCAACAAAGGCTGTCCCAACAGAAAGGTCAAGATTCTGGTAGTTGTTCAGTCAGGTCAGTGAGACTGGATGTCTCACCAGTACCATTTTGTGCTGGAGTCTCTGAGGATTCCTAGTGAGCTTCTGTCTTCAGTATGCATTGGAATCCTGAAGAGGTAGGTCCTAAAACCAGTGAACAAGATAGATGCACTTGCCAGTGAGAGTGAAGACAAGCAGGCAAAAAGCAGAAACCCCCTTCTTCCGTGACCTTTATATGAGCTGCCACCGGACAGTCTGGCTGATATTTAGAGTGAGCCTTCCCACTTAAATGATCCAATCCAGAAAATCCCTCACAGGTCTGTATAGCTGCTTGGATTTAAGTTGGTTCCAGATATAGTCAAGTTGACAGCCAAGATTAGCCATCACACCACTTTAGTTATTTTTTGCCATGTATTGTCTTAGGCTTAGCAAATTCATTCCCCTTTCTAGATTTTTCAATATATTATCTTAGGCTAAATAAATTCCGTTCAATCTGTGGCTGTTCTTAGACATGTTTGTTGGTGAGGTTATTTTATTTAAATTCTTAGTTGTCCTTTTTTCATCTGTATAGCTTGTTTTGAGCATTTATTTATGTGTTTATTGCTTGTTATTTGCTCCCTCTTATACACTTGTGGATATTCTGGAACAAAAAGTGGAAGTCAGGAAATTTATCAACAGGCTAAAGAGCGCTGTTGTGTTGAGAAATAGAAATTTTGGCATTTAAGAAATCATCACCTCTCACCCAAAGTCTTCCCTGAATAAAAGAAGAAAAAAAATAGTTAAGGTCTAAAGAATATGCAATTTTAAGATTATCACTTTCTTTTGATTTAATTTCATTTTAGACCACGGATTTCAAAACATAGTATACAATATGTAGTGGACAAGAACTCTCGAGTGCTTATTATTTCTTTAAGAGTCCAATTTTGGTGTTAATAGTTTGAAACTAACACTGAAAACATAGTCCTTTAGACAACTCACCAAGGGATTGATAAAATATGAGAAAAGTTGCTAAAAATAAAATCATGTATATGAAGATAGCAGAATTTGCAAAGTTAAGAAGCACCTAGGTAGATTCTAGGATGGAGTACATCTAGAGATTAGTGTGACATCTAGGAGACCTTGGACTTGAAGGTCAAATGGCCTACAGATTGCTTGTTTCTGGGCTCATATTTTGTGAAGGGTTATGCTATTAGCCTCCCACTTTTCTCTTTGTGGAAATCACTCTGATTCAACATATGCAGTGAATTTGTAGAGGAAACTCCATTTGTTTTTAAATTTTAACATGGTCAACGTGCCAAAGTATAAATAAAGGAATAGATAAAGGAGAAGCATGATCTTATGAGTCAGTGTGTCTGTGTGTACACAGATAAGGAAGAGCCAGTCATTAATGTCAGACCTGTGCAGCAGTTCTCAGTATTGTGGGGACACCTTGGCTTAGGGAACCAAATGTTTGCAGATTTCCCTATGTGTTGTATTTAATTCAGATTAAATTAGAAATATTAATAATCGTTCTTCTGTATATGGAGGAAGATTATTAGTATTTGAAAAATACTGGAGGTGTCTACATCATTTCATCAAGAAATTTTTTCTTAGGTAACAGACAAGTGTACCACACTTGATCTGTATGGGTACTAACCAGAAAATCTTCCATTTCTTTATTTCTTCTAGATATGCAGCATGCGAATGAGATTAACCAAGACTATCAGAAGATGCATGGATGCAATCTGGTAATTGCCAAGAGCAGCAGCACATCAGCTGAGCAGAGGGCTACAGCAGGAAAAATGGTGACTAGCTCAAGCCATGTTTTAAGGCTAGCTGTAAAGAATGACATGTCTTCTGGAATGAGACCTGGGGGGTTTAATATATGGGATCGTGTGCTTCTCCCTAGTGAGCCCAGTGAGATGCAGGCTGTAGAGGGACTTGATCTTCCTCATGTAACCAGGGTGTCCCCCAGACTTCCTGAGCCTCTTAGTCTATATCACAGTACTAAATGTGAAGAAAAGCATTTTCAGTATTGTGGGCACAGTGAAGCTCTCCACACGAAGACAGTGTGGATACAGAACACATTTCCTATCAAAGATCCCTCCAGTAAGTTGAAGAACTACAGAAAAGGATTAGAAAAGTTAGCTTTTCCTGCCCAAGGGGGTACCCAGGTACAGGAGCAAACTTTTGAATGTAAAGTGTGTGGGAAATTGTTCTATAAAAATTCTCATCTAACACAGCACTTAAAAACACACAAAGAAAAGGAATGTTATAAAAGTAATGATTGTGAACCAATATTCAATATACAATCAAACCTCCGAAAACATCAGAGTTTGAATGTGGGAGAAAAGCCTTATACATGTAATGAAGATGAGAAATACATTTGTCAGAAATCAGAAAAAAGTGTTCGGCAGAGAATCATAGGGGATGGAAGGAATGTGTATGAGAAAACTGTTTGCTCAAAATTAAATTGCAGTGTTCAACAGAACCCTCACAAGGATGAGAAATCCCATGAATACAGTATATCTGGAAAAGCAATTAGTAAGTCCAACCTCCAACTTGAGACACTGCACAGATATGAGAAAGCATATGAATGTAATACATGTGGGAAAACCTTTAACCATACATCAAATGTCTACTCACATTCGAGAGCTCACACAGCTGAGAAACCCTATGAGTGTAAAGACTGTCAGCAGTCAAAACCCATTGTGAATCAGCAAGCTCACACACAGGAAAAACGCTATGTATGCAATGTATGTGGAAAAGCCTTTTACAAAAGAGCCCACTTACACGCACATCAGCGAACCCACACAGGTGAGAAGCCATATGACTGTAATGAATGTGGGAAATCTTTTAGGCTGAAGTCATTTCTTGTTGTACATCAAAGAATTCACACAGGTGAAAAACCCTTTGCATGTACTACATGTGGAAAAAGTTTCAAGCAGAGGACAAGTCTCTATACACACATAAGAATTCACACAGGTGAGAAACCCTATGAATGTAAAGAATGTAGGAAATCTTTTATTCTCAAGTCATATCTCACTGTACATCAGAGAACTCATTCGGGTGAGAAACCCTATGAGTGTGATGTATGTGGAAAGTCCTTTAAGCAAAATTCCCACCTTCATGCACATAAGAGAACTCACACAAGTGAGAAACCCTACGAGTGTGTTGTATGTGGCAAAAGTTACAAGCAGAGTCCAAGCCTCTATACACATAAGAAAATTCATATGAGTGAGAAACCCTATGAATGTAAACAGTGTAGAAAATCATTTAGTTTGAAGTTCCATCTCACCAGACATCAGAGGACTCACTCAGGTGAAAAACACTATCAGTGAAATGTGTGTGGATGAGCCTTCAAGCAGATTTCACACCAGTGTACATCAGAGAACTCCCCCAGGTGAGAAATCCTGTGAATGGGAAGAATATAGAACACCTCTCTACCACTAGTCATCTGCCCATGTTTATTAGGAGCTTTAGTGGGGAGAAACTCCATCAGTGTTATGTCTGTGGAAAGACCTGCTGCCAGGTGTCAAGCTGGTACACACGTCTGTGAATTCACACAGGTGACAGACTTTTATAATTAAAAACTAAGAAAATATTCCAGCCAAAGATACATCAGAGAACTCAGAAACATGAGAAACCTTAAGAGCATATAAATGTAAAAAAATCTCAACCATAGGATACAACTCATTAAAACATATACAAATGGGTGAGATGTTGAAAAACCCTTCCCTAAATATCATATCTCAGCAGTTATTAGGTAATTCACACCCTATTAAAGAAACCCTATGAATGTAGAAAATCCTTCAACCATAGGTCATTTTTTACTGCATACCAAAGAAGACACATGGGAACATCTCCATGAATGTTGTTTATGTGCAGAAAACACACACTCAAGACAAACCTCTGTGTCCACCTGAAAACTCAAAACTGAGAAACCCTATGACTATAAATACTGTAGGAAATATTTCAACCATAAGCCATCTGTTGCTGTACATGAAAGAAGTCACATAGGTGAGTAACCTTAAACACATAGGTGAGTATAATGTAAGCAGAGAACCTTTTAAGGGATGCCGAGTCTCTTCGCATTAGACATGCACTACTGAGGAACCCCAAGAGTAATGTATACGGAAATGCCTTTTTCAGTAGGCAGACCTCTCTGAACATCAGTAACTCTGCTCGGAAGCACATGAGTAATGTATGTGGGAAACCCTTTTACTAATGTCAAACCTTCACTCATACAGATGTAATCACTGTATGTATCTGGAAGAGTCACATAGTGTAAAGCAGACCTCAGGAAACATTTGAATTAGCACAGAGGAGACCTTGTAAAACAGATAATAATGTGGGCAGTGTTTCTAAGAAGTCACTCAGCAGGAATTCATCCCACGAAGTCCTTAAGTCCAGAAAGCAGAGTACTATGTGCTCCCCAAGATTTATTTTCTTTGCTGCACTCATCAGCCTGTGTTTTGCAGTCTGTTTCAGTTTGTGGGACCTCGTGCTAAGCTCTTTAGTGGAATGTAAATGTATGTATCCCGCTAACCCCCAAAATCTTAAACTCCACTTGGGAGCCCATCCATAGTTGGCCTGAAGTGCAGATAACCTTCAGTGTGTTTAACAGCCATGAATAGAAGGGCACTGTGGCTTAGGAATGTTCTGTCCAGAGAGCTATGATCCTCCTGCATGTTTCTACCATCTCCAATGTATGGAAGGGAAGTCTGCAGAATCTGTAATAGTGCAGAGCCACAGCCTAGTTCACTCTTAAGAGGTGGTGAGACAAACAGATTGTCTTTAGAAAACTATCAGGAAAGAGATCCTCTGGCCACTCTTCATTCCCATGCTGCCTTGTGGGGAAGAAGAAATCCTGATAAAATTCCCAGAAATGCTGAGTGTGTTTCTGGTAGGGATCTTCCATTAAACAGATCATTGAATGCACATTGCTTTTATGTGTGAAACCTTTCAATAAAATTTCCAGGCAGGTTTTGACCAAGGAAAATTATCACTATGGAATCTATACATTAATTTGGGTGGGGGAGAAATGTTAAATCTCACATTCCAGTTGTTTTTCAAAATCTGCATGCCAGGAGATGAATATTGGTAATGCCTATCAGTGAGCATCTGCCTGTCTGGGGACATTTGTGATGTTTTAACTAGAGTTTGGGAGAGGCCAGTGGCACATACAGGGATGTAGCTGAACAGCCTACAGTATGTTGGATAGTACACTCATGTATGTATGGTTCATGGATATGAGTATGTCATATCAGTTGTGGTCCATGATGAGAATAAACAGAAGAGACTCTCCATGGTTTCGTGTAATATGTGTTGCAGTGTACATTGATATTTCCCACATTTGATGCCATTCTGGCCTCTTTATTATCTTCCTACCCTCAGACAATGTATTATATACTTTCTTAGTCTTGTGTCATCTAAATGTGTGTGACAGTTGTTACTGGCTCAAGTAAATAAAGGTATTCTTTTCCTAATGTGATGTCTTGGAGTGGGCCTGTGTGTCTGATAGGAAGAGTATTTACAGTCAAAAGCACTAAAAAAGGAGGTTTGTTCACAGCTGGAGTGAGAGTTGATTTTGGACTGTTATGAACTGTAGTGCTCATTCTCTCCCACCCTCAGAGAGGTAATTTCCCCTTTGTTCCTCTTTCTCACACCTTTAAATGGGATATCAGCATCTGTGTGAGTATGTGCACCAAATGCTCTGTAACTAAGGTTCTTTAATCTCCATTACAAAATAGAGCCTGTCTCAGTGTGATGTGCTGAAATTAAAGTACTTGCCATGTAACCTGGAACGTGATGAAAGATCTGTCCTCTAAGCATTTCAGTGAATTCGTTTTCCTTCTTCCAAGTTGCTAGGAGCCTGCAGCAGAATGTTGAGCTATACTCCAGCATTTCCTACTTTGCCAAAGTTGGATTTGATTTTGTTCCCAGTCCTACATACTGATCTAGGGATTTAGCTCTACTGTATTTCTAGTAATTGCTTGTGATCAGTATTTTCATCAGTATTTCATGCTGTGCATGTGAGCCAGCTCTGCCTGTTGACATCCTGGGAAAGGTCCATGACAGCTCTTAGAATGTGCCAAAAAGACAAATGGAAACATGGAAGAAGTGAGTCTTCTGTTGTACACTGAAGGGGGCAGACCTTCAGGTTCCAAATAATCCTTTATCAGTGGGATCCCATAAATTATCAGTATACAAAAGCTATAAAAACCCATTTCAGTGGTGCTGTGTAGAGCCACTGAAATAGCTGATATGAGAACTGAGGGATTTTTCTTTTGCAGGGGAGGGGGCATTTATTTACAGAATTGTGTTTATCTTGTTCCACAAAAATAGTTACCTCTGGGCAGTGGTGGTACATGGCTTTAATCTGCACCCAAGCAGAAGCAGGCAGATCTCTGTGAGTTCTAGGACAGTCAAGGCTACACAGAGAAACCTTGTCTCGAAAAACGGGGGAAAAAATAGTACCAAGTTGCAAACCAATATAAGCAATCAAGCTTGTGTGAAATTCAAGCACTTTGGAGGGATTGCCAGTATTATGAGTTTGAGGCCTGTGTAAGGAGTCACTCTCAACCCGTACACCTCCTTCCTCACACATGCGCACACGCACGCACATTTGTATCCTAGACTCATCAGTTTAAGCAAAACTGCCAAACTCCCCAATAATAGACCTACTATAATAGTCACCATAGATAAATACTATTTTATTTGCAGACTTAAAGGAAAAATGGTGAGGCATGTAGAAGAGACAACATAGCCAGATTTTTTTTTTAAAAGTATTTCAAAGAATAGTAGATTACAGTTCAAAGTGGTATTTCAGACTTAAAAGCAAAGTAGATACAGAGTATTAAAACTCACTGATACAACATCTTTAAACGAGTATTTAACAACACTTCTTAGTATAAAAAGCAAAGCACTCAAGGAGGGCAGGCTTGGAACTAGAGTCCTGTGGTCAGAACACGAGGGCTAGAGGAGGTGATGAGGGAACAGTATACATTTGAAGAAAACTTACCTTAAGTGAAAGCCATGGTAGTCCTGCTTAAGCAGACATTTGGATATGTGGAATCCTAATGCCGGGCAACCAGAGCCAAATCAATACCTCCCCATAACAGGTACCTTAAGAAAATACGAGTGCCCAGAGCTTGTAGTTGATTCTAGGCACGGTCAAGTTGACAGACAAGCTTAGCCATCACACTAGACCATGGTCACTTACATTTAGCTCCAGAAGAAACCTTTATCTCCGATGAAATGAGCGATAAATAATACAATTATTTTATATTATTATTGACAAGTGCTGCCAGTCCATCACCTGTCAGTCTTCAGCCATCCCAATCTGGTGCTGAAGGCCTGGAGAGTTTTTAATGAACCACTGCTCATCAGTCTACACCAGAAACTCAAAAAAAAAAAAAAAAAAAAAAAATCTCGACCCCAAAGATTCCACCAAGGAACTGATACAGCTTATAAACACCTTCAGCAACATAGCAGGATACAAGATCAACTCAAAAAAATCAGTAGCCCTCCTATATACAATGGACAAAGAAGCGGAGAAGGAAATCAGAGATACATCACCCTTTACTATAGCCACAAATGACATAAAATACCTTGGGGTAACACTAACCAAGCAAGTGAAGGACCTATATGACAAGAACTTTAAGTCCCTGAAAAAAGAAATTGAAGAAGATGTCAGAAAATGGAAAGATCTCCCATGCTCATGGATAGGCAGGACTAACATAGTAAAAATGGCAATCTTACCAAAAGCAATCTACAGATTCAATGCAATCCCCATCAAAATACCAACACAATTCTTCACAGACCTGGAAAGAATAATACTCAACTTCATATGGAAAAACAAAAAACCCAGGATAGCCAAAGGAATCCTGTACAATAACACAACTTCTGGAGGCATCACGATCCCTGACTTCAAGCTCTACTATAGAGCTACAGTAATAAAAACAGCTTGGTACTGGCATAAAAACCGACATGTGGACCAATGGAATCGAATTGAAGACCCTGACATTAATCCGCACACCTATGAACATATAATTTTTGACAAAGAAGCCAAAAGTGCACAATGGAAAAAAGAAAGCATCTTCAACAAATGGTGCTGGCAAAACTGGATATCAACATGTAGAAGGCTGCAAATAGATCCATATCTATCACCGTGCACAAAACTTAAGTCCAAGTGGATCAAGGACCTCAACATAAATCCAGCTACTCTGAACCTGCTAGAAGAGAAAGTAGGAAGTAGTCTTGAACGCATTGGCATAGGAGACTACTTCCTAAATAGAACACCAGTAGCACAGACTCTGAGAGAAACAATCAATC